TATTTATTATTTTTTCTTAGTTCTCGGCGGACACAACATCTTTGTTTGTATGTGGTATTGAGGATCGAACCTGGGCTGCACGCACGCTAGGCAAGCGCGCTACCGCTTGAGCCACATCCCCAGCCCCCAAAAAGCATTTATATGAAAATAAATAACATTGGTTTTGTCCATCTGAAGAGAATACATGAAAGTTTTGTTTTACCAACCCTCCTACCATCTTCCTTTTTTATATTTATAAATTTTAAGAGATATATTTATGGAAAGAGCCTAAGCAAGTAAAATAAACATGAATTCATTAATTTTATCTCAATTTCTATCATAAATTTAGAAATGTTTCATGGGGAGAATATAATTTTAAGGTCCAACAACAAAAATCAGAATAAACAAAATCTTTTATGCTGCACTTAAAAGAAAAAAAAGTTTGCATTCAAAACACGTCATAAATCGTGACTTAGATGAATATAAATTTCATAAATGTGAATTTGACCAGAAAACAGGTTCTCAGCTACAATGTAGTCATGTAAATGAATTCCCTGGCTCTTTTCCTTTCTTCTATTTAAAAGGTAATTCTTCTTAAAGCCCAGACCATGGAGCTATTTCTACAAGAGGGAATCAGCGTGCAGGCTTTCTTTTAGCTGATTATCTATATTTGTCAAAACTATGGGAGGTTATTAGTGTGCTCAGAAAATTCCTTGTTTCATTGCTTTTTCTTTTACACACGAGGGTCAATTTAATGTTAGATCAAGGGATTAAAGTCATAAGCGTATGTTTTTATGTATGACTTCATTTCAATCAGAATTTCCTCAAGGCATAATGTTGCAGTATTGTTCATTCAGAGAATAAACCAGAACTGCTGACTGGCAATTGTTTTTTACAGTTTTCCAGGGAGATATAAAGTATACTTATGAGCAAAGTGCTAAGTAGAATGACTTAACAGCACTCAAATTCCCACTAGCATGTTGTTTAAAACTGAGCAGTATCTTCAAATAAACATAAAAGGCAAGAAAAAAGAAAAAGATCCTCCTTTTAAATTGTTTTTCAATGGGATGAAAAATATAAGGGTACTGAACAATCGATACACTGAGCTGAAATAGACCTAAATAAATAAATAAATAAATAAACAAATTTGCCTCCTACAGGGAAAACAGACAAAGCTTTAGCTCACACATCTCTATACATCACTTTTTACAAAGCTGGTTCAATTAAACTATTTCAAAATTTCTTCCAATTGCCAAAAATAACATTATCATTTCATGCTATACATTTTACTTACAGTATTTATAAAACAGTATGTGAATTTGGAATAGTAGATCCATATATTAGTATTATTCTCAATAATAGGATTTATAAAATACTTTTACTACTTCAAATTGTATTCACAATTATTAAGATTTTAAGTATTTCTGATAATTTGAATTTCACTTTTAAGTCTCCAGGAAAGAAGGAATTGCAGAGTTACTCTTAAAAGAAAATTAAGCTCAATTTGGATATGATAACCAAAAGTAAATTTGGCAACAGATAAAAACCACATAT